AAATGACTGGAAGTGGAAGTCAATGAAAAAACAAGTATAGAAATTAGGGCTGTGAAATTAATTGAGTTAACTCTGATTAATTTTAGTGCTGCATGGGCATAGATAAAAAATTTTAATCGCGATTAAAATTTACAATCACTTTACTACGACTGAATATGTAGGTTTGTATATTGCAACGCACTCAGTGCATGTCAGGTCATGTTTGCAAATGAGAAGTGATTCTCAAACAGCTTACTTGGATAAATAAAAGTTAAATAAATAATTTTAAAAAACCTCCATGTGAAACACATTATGTACATTTTTTTCTTTTTGTCTTCTAATGGCTTATTTTATTTTATTTATTTATGTTTTGCTGACAACTGTGACATAGTATCTATCTTTCATGCCTCATGTAGTACTATAGTAGTAGTAGGAGTAATAACTCAAGTAATTTATTTTACCAATAAGTAATAAAGTTTTATATTAAGTTTAAGCTTAATCGTGATTAATTCACAGCTACCTTGGAATTAATAGATTAAAAATTTTAATCATTTGACAGCCCTAATAGAAATACAGACTTTTGTGTGTATTAGCCTCTCAGATTGTAATCATTGGATGTACATCTGTGAATGATTTCATTTTAGAGTCAATCTGATTCAAGATGGCTGCTACAGCCAGATGACCTGACATAACAAGAAACCAAAGTAATTTTGTAAATTTTACAGATTTTGAGCAGAAATTTGGTGTTGAAGTAACTGAGACTTCTTTCCCATTTAAAGTCCAAAAGTTGTTGAATAAGGACTGTTTATAAACTTTTTCCTCTATTCCAGCTAAAATTTGATGTGGTCGTAGCTGAGAGTAATACACATTTACAAGTTTGGTTTAATTAATTTGTTTCAGGTGTTGATGACATCATCCTCAAGTCGGGTTGTTGTTTCAATAAAGCTGCTGAGAACATTTAATCATCTAATTTTACACAAGACCTATCTGACATTTTAAACACAGGAACAAAGGAGGAGCAACCCTCTCTCAAGTCATTATAAGGGAAAACACTGCCACCTGCTGGTACAAACCGAGAATAAGTATAAAAACTATTTATTTATTTTTTTTGGTCACATTTTACACACGTTTGGGAGCCAGAGAGTCTTTTCTTAAACTACAACCAATTTTTTTTAAAAGAATGTAGACACAAAACACTCGTGATTCTCTTGACAATTGAATATTCTCTGATCACAGAAATGTGTTCACATCTTATATATTTATTATACACTGATTTACAAGATGTGAATATATACTGTATATATAACATCTTAGCACAATATGTAAGGAAAGTTGGGTAGATTATTTCTTTGTTGCAACAATGCTTCTTGGTAATAAATGTTACAGCATTGAAAAACCGGTTAATTTCCATTTCTAATTGTGCCACATTTGGAAGGAACATGCGTTTGTGGGATGAGCAGTAGAGCTGAGTGTGTGGGTTGTGCACATGTAAGATTTGCAAAATCTTCTCTGCTGAACAGCTTATTTTGCTGTTGCTACTGACTCTTTGTTTTGAGCTTCTGGTCTATTGCGAAGATGCGTTGTTACTATGCGCGCACACACACACACACACACATATATATTGTATAAACAGCGGTTAAAATAAGTATGGAACACATCAACATTTTTCTCAGTAAATATATTACTAGAGGTGCTAATGACATGAAATTTTCACCAGATGTCAGTAACAACCCAAGTGATCCATACATACAAAGAAATCAAACCATAAATGTCCAGAAATGAAGTTATTTGTAATAATGTGGAATGGCACAGGGAAGAAACAGCACGTTGAAGCTCGTTTAAAGTTTGCGGCACAACATTTAAACAAGCCTGTGTAAAATTTCAGTAAGTGTGTTCAATACTTTTTCCCTGTGCCATTCCACATTATTACAAATAACTTGATTTCTGGACATTTATGGTTTGATTTCTTTGT